TTTACGGTGTAGGTGGAACCAATTAGTGGTGTTTTTGTAAAAGCTGTTAGAGCTGTAACTTCCTGGGCATATGTGAAAACCTCACCAGTAGAATAAATTTGTTTACATTAGGGTAGTGATGAGAATAGGAAGTCTGTTGCTAAAATTAAAGATTCTAGCACAGACCTCGCAGTAATTCTGCACTAGTTTTTCAATTAATGTACGGTAGGAATCATCTAGGGTGGAAAAGTTCATCGGCTTGACCTATCCAGTCCCATCACTAAATCATGTATTCCTAATGCTGTTCACAAACAATTAAATGTAATTCAGTGAGAGATTACATCCGCTGCGGTGAAAAGGAGTACTTGGTAGTATTTTAAATCTTTTGTGTATATTCTTTTGGCAATATATAAGAAATAGGTGTACAGAGAAAAACAATGCATGTTCTTTTGCATTAAATAATGTTAGGGTCTTGGGACCTCAAGAACTGAATGGTGTTTTCTGATGGTGAGAGTGAGGGAAAATATGGAAAGATTAATACAAATAACTGGTACATGCAAATGATACTGGAAGTCATAAGAAGTCTGTACTGCAACCTAAGCCCTGCTCAGAGTTCTAACAGTCAAGTTTGTTTCTTCTGCTACTCCAGTTCTGATTGATTAGTGCGATTCAGAATGTCTGAATGGTGCAAAAAAAGCAGATCTCTTACTGATTTTCTAAAAATCCACTGGAGTGCAAAAATACTTAAAAATGAAGGTGATATCTCTTCTCATAACTTTTTATCTACTGTCTTCCCCTCTTGCCAATGTGTTCCTATCTGAGACCATTGGAAACTGTCACTGGAAGTATACGTCCAAGAGCAGAATTCACACAACTTTTGAAATACTAATTAACAGACAGCAAGGAAAAGAGAATGTGCATCTGTGGGCTCATGTTATCTGAACTTATGCTTAAAGATACTAAGAGTAAAATAAATAAATAATTTGATAGAAATTATCTAATATAAAGTTTTATTTCCATGAGATTTGTGATGTGGCCTGAAGAGTATTTGGTCAGTCACTCTAATTTTGACAAATGGGTGATGCTAGTAAGTTCTCTTTTCTTTATATCTTATGGCTGTACGTAAACATTATGGAAATGCAAAGGATAATTATTTTTCAATTGAAAATTTAATGTGGAGGCACAAAAGTTTAAAACAGTACTCTAATCAAAGTTTTCTCTCAGATGTACTTATACTTTTTTTTCTGAAAGTTCATAGGGTTGTGCCATAAAACTGCAGAGTGTATATTGGTTACTATCAGAAAACTGTTGGTTACAGAAGTAAAATTGTTGGTAACTATTTTTTCTTCATAATTGTAGATGAAGAAAAGATTTGGCCTCCTTGTATCAGAGTCATTGTAATAAGGTCACCAGTTCTACAGACCGGGTCACTTTATATTATCACAGCTGTGAAACCTGCTACAATTGGAAGGTAAAACTGAGTGAAATTTGTTACTTATATCTGAAGCCTGTACTACCTTTCAGGACAGCATAAGCCACTGGGGATTGTTTGTCCCCACTGTTCCTGCTTGTCCTGCTAGCCTTCAGTAGTTAGAGGTTTACTGTCTTAAGGTTATCCCGCAGTAAGAAACTTCAGCTGTGTCACATAATGTTGTATTTGCTATGATAACAGCATACGTATTTTATGAAGTTCAGAAGTAATGGTAACTTGGTATTTTGACTAAGTCCAAATAGCAGCTTAGCTAGAAGTTAAGAAAAAAAAAAAAGTACACTCTATTTCTGTGTCACTAAGATAACTCCTTCCATAATTCAGAGTCATAAGGAAGCACAACTCGGGCTTCTCATTTGAATCCCAGTAGGGTTGATTCTCCACTTTGAAATAATATGCTGCATTGTTTGCTAACCTGCATGCATTCTGTAAGTTCTGATATTTAATACAAAATAAGGTTTCATCATAGTGATGATGAATTTAATGACGAGTTAATGCTTTCTTCAGTGCCTGCTAAAATCTTCACTCCTTTTTAACTGCTTTTATCTGATGCTGATTCGTATTTTGATTTGCTCCTATATCTGGAAGTTCCTAGGCACATTTATGTGAAATTCAACCGTTGAAAATGCTTTGGTTTCCATATAGTTCCTTTAGTAGCTGTATTGTTTCTTTGTCCTCTAGTTTAAGAATTGACATGTAAACCCGTTCATGTTTCTTCCCAGTATCTTTGAACAAAAAATCTGTATTTTTAATAATTTGTGATAATTTGTATGTATTGCTTTTATAACTTGTCTAATTCTATGAAGAAGTCAGCTTCAGTCTAGAAGACCGATGAAGAACTTGAGGATGCAGTGTTCAGACTGGTATCCACAGGTCTTGAATGAAATGAGAAGTTCATATAGAAATGTCAAGTTCATAGATTAAAAAAAATAATGCATAGCATTATCGTATATTAGTGTGTAGTTTACAAAAGGCTGAAAGCAAATGAAGTAAGGCCATACATTGTGTGTACTGTAAGATAGTACTTCTGTATCTGTAAAGCTTGCAGATAGTGCAGAAGAAAAGCATGGTATTAAGGTTCAGTTGAAATGCACCTTTTGTAAGCTATTATTTGAGCTATTTCTATCTTGTCACAATTTATGTATTAACTTAATTTTTCAGAGAAAAAGATGTTGGCCATACACTTCAAATTCCTGAAGTTGGAGTCAGTAAGGTAACTCTTGTTTTTCTCTGCTAATACGTATATTTACATCTGGATAAAGCTTTTGTCTTAGCTTTTCGTTTTGCCAAATCATGAGGGCTTCTTTAGCAATGAAGTTAAGAAAAAAGCATACGGTGTTTTGCTCTGTGGAAATATAATGTAAACAGCAGTGTGATTTCGTATTCTAGAAAAGCAAAGATTTTTTGTTGTTTTGTGTTTTTTTAATTTAATTGGAGTTTTAGTAATGCACGGTTAATTATATTTTGAATCCTGAATGTATTAGTAATCAAACTTCAGGAAAATGGGTGATTGTGTTAGATATTGATTGTATAGTAAATGATTGCTAATTGGAACCAGGTGTAGAAAAAATCCAATCCTTACAGCTGAGTTTAGAGAAACAGGTTGTGTTTTATTTTTAAGGCTATTGTGTGAATGTATAAGTGATATACACAGTGTTTGAAAATATAACGATTTTTTTTGAAATGACATTGTCATAGAATATTATTTGTACTTAAGAAGGTTTAAAAATAAATTATTTACTTGAGTTTGCTAACTACTGCAACACAGACCATAAATATAGCTCTCTTAATTCCACATAAGTTTATAGATCTGTAATCTAAATAAAAAAGTCGGTAAAACACTTATAAATGCCTGTATCTTAAATAAGTTTTACTATGTCTGTTTCAGATGACAGTTCTAATTAATAAGAAGTGTAACATTTTATACTGCAACTTTCTTAGAGATGATCTTTTCCTGCTATTAATGACATTTTCTGGCTTGTATTTGAAACTGGATTATAAAACAGCCAGAGTTTTTATATTTTCTCTCTTGCTTCTTAGCATAGCTAACAATATTTAGCAGTATTTTGTGGATACTGAAGTTGCTCTGAAATACTTCTCATTAAAATAACAGCGTGCAGGAGTTACTTCAGTTTGCAAATGAAGGGGCACAGACATGAAGATAAATGACGTATCTCTAGAAAGTTACTACCAGTTTATCTATTTAACTACTACATTACTACTCATAATTGATAGCTGTGGCACTAATTTTTCTTAAATGTAAAGTGAGATTGAAATAAACAACTCCCTGCAGATTTAGCATCTTTAGAAGTACTTTTGGGTTCACACTACTCAGTAAAACATAGATAGAACTAAAAACACTAAGCAGATTATCTATTTGATCTTTCCACTATTCAGATATAAACCAAAGAGTATAAATTTGCAAAATGCTGTTCTAACTTATTGAATACAGCAATTGCTCTGGCAAAGTAGCACCTGCAATTAGGTAAGAAGGGTTTTGGTTTTAAATGAGCACTTTCTTCACAGGTTGATTTATGTTTTTTCATTACTATAGCAAAAGATATCTTTGTCAAATTTGAAATTAACTTGTATAGATTCCCTGATTTTACTGGGAGTCTTGGTAGATTGTAGAAGATATTTTAGTTTGCTTAGTGGCCATTTTTGAAGGTAATGTATTTGTTTGGAAATTGGTTCCTGTGTTTTCAGGAAGACTGAGTTTTGTTTTCTCTGTTCTGTCCATGGGACCAATATCCATATAGAATTGCAATAGATCTTTTTAAAAATTGGTTTGTTAGACTTTCATAGTCTACCTATGAAATGACCTAAAATTCTACCCTGACCATCTACCCTGACCATTTACTGCGTCCAGTTCTGGGCTCCCCAGTACAAAAAAGACAGGGATCTCTTGCAAAGAGTCCAGCGGAGGGCCACGAAGATGGTGAAGGGCCTGGAGCATCTCTCCTAAGGAGAAAGGCTGAGTGAACTGGGTCTGTTCAGCCTTGAGAAAAGAAGACTGAGAGGGGACCTGATCCAGGTCTATAAATATCTGAGGTGTGGGGGGCAGAATGGCGAGGCCGGACTCTTTTCAGTGGTGAGTGGAGACAGGACAAGGGGAGACGGCCGGAAACTGCAGCATAGGAAGTTCTGCACAAATGTGCGCAAGAACTTCTTTACAGTGAGGTGACGGAGCACTGGAACAGGCTGCCCAGGGAGGTGGTGGAGTCTCCTTCTCTGGAGATGTTCAAGACCTGCCTGGATGCCTGCCTATGCGACCTGGTGTAGGGAACCTGCTTTGGCAGGGGGGTTGGACTCAATGATCTCTGGAGGTCCCTTCCAACCCCTACAATTCTGTGATTCTGTGATTAAGGTGAAAGTGAATTACATGAAATTTATGCAAACGTGGCACTTTCAGCTATTTCAAATGTGAAAGTAATCTGAGCCCTGTAAACTGAGATCAGATTTTTTAATTGTATTTCTTTGTCTTCTTGATGTCTTCCAGAAGGAGCAAAATTAAGAGTGCTAAAACATCCCGTACAAGGAAGAAATACCATTTATTCATAGGAACAAATAGAAATTGTTCATTACTGTATCTTTCAATCCTTTAAGTGAAGCATACTTTCTGTCTAGGAAGTACATGCTTTTTCAGTATTGAGACAGTTTGTTGTCCAAACAGATTATTAATAGAACATGTTAGCTTGTGATGTTATCACCCATTAATATACATTTCAAAGTGCTTAGAATGTTTTGTTAACTTTGAGTACCAAACTCACACAGCTAAGAGGTTCCCAAATACATACTGAAATTTTTCAATAAAATAGCATTTAAATTGTCAAGAATTTGCTTAATGAGAACACTTCAATTACTCTTCTATTTATCAGTTCCATGCAGAAGTATATTTTGACCATGATTTGCAAAATTATGTTCTTGTGGATCAAGGCAGTCAGAATGGAACAGTTGTTAATGGAAATCAGATTTTACAGGTGAGTATTTGCTGCTACAGTGCTGTATACATTGCAGAAAACTAATCATGCAGTTATGTTAAACATGTCATGGCAAATTGCTAACAATACTGTCGTTCCTTGATTTCCTTCAGGATTTAGGATCATTCTTTATATTTTATGTTTGCTTTGTATTAGGAATTAGGAAATCTCTACTGTTGTTAGAATTGCTAGAGTGAAATACCCATTGTATTTTAAATGTTTACCCACGTTTGTTATTTCAGACTTTAGTAGTAAATTATGAGCAGTATTCATGTAATAGCACTGGTGCCCTGAATGAGTAACTAATAACTACGGCTGCCAAAACTTTCTTTTGCTGTAGCCTAAAACGAAATGTGATCCATACATCTTGGAGCATGGTGATGAAGTGAAGATTGGTGAAACTGTGCTTTCTTTTCACATACATCCTGGCAGTGACACTTGTGATGGATGTGAACCAGGTCAAGTCAGAGCACATCTTCGTCTGGATAAGAAAAAAGAATCTTCTGGTTAGTCATGTTATCATTGAATATGGTGGTTTTTAAAATATTATTATTGATCCTTATCTTATACATAATAATTAAAAAAATACTGCAGAGTTGTGTTACGTTTTTCTTCTCAATTGAGAATAGTTCTGCAATACATGATAATGTGAGTTCTTTTTGGCATGTGTGTAATAATCTTGGAATAAAATTTTGTCTTATGTTGGAAAAGAGTTATAATATTAATTAGAAATTGAATCTTATGTTCTTCCTTTTAGTTTGCCCAGCACTTAGTAAAGAAGAGAGAGAGTTAGTCAGAAGAAAAGCATTAAAACAAATACGGGTAAAATATGGTTTACAGGTGAGTTTACAGAAAATTAAATGTTTGAGACCTACATCTACTCCATGATTCCTGTTTTAAGCCATAAATTTCATTGAATAAAGAAAGCTTTCAGAGTCCTGAATCTGATGGTTTAACTCAAGCACGTTATTTCTACACTAAATCATTATTTACAGACTTCTGAAGATAGAGCAGTGAGGTCATCAGAAATAAAGAATCTAAATATTCTGTCTTTAATCTGTTTGCAAAGAACACAGAGTATGAAGACAACAAAGCAGTGAAGAATCCAAAATACAAAGATAGAGCTGGAAAACGCAGAGAGACCATTGGAAGTGAAGGAACTTTCCAGAGAGGAGATACTCCAGCTTCTGTACATATGTAAGTCTGTTTGGATGTAGGAAAAAAAAAAAAAAAAAAAAGAATCTTCACAGTGCTCTAATGAATTGTACAGAACTACAGCAAATATCAGTTACTTATTAAGATACAGTTTGTTAGCTTATGAATCACCTGTATACAGTATATCAGGAGAATGAGAAGACAGCTATTCTCACTTCCTAGTTCATATACTAATGTTACCATATACTCTTGCTTTTCCTTATGGAATTCAGGTTGGCTGTTATGATGGCTAAATCGCTGTCTTATCTCAAAAGATAGGAAATCAGCCATTGCACTACTGACACCTCTGATGCTTTGAATAGCCTCTGTGTTTTGTCTCATCCCAGTAATGGCACATACGCAAGTTTTTCACCTGCATAATTTCTTTCAACTGTCAATATCCAGCCTTTCATAGCGTATGCATATTTTTACCTCTAAAATAAGACTTATTTTAATCTTCCTTTTAAATTATTCCTTTGCTTCTCCACTTGCTATTTTGTTTTAAAGAAGCATGATCTTGTAGGTGCTTGTAACTTAGTAAAAGGAAATGTGAGACAGTGAAATGTGTGTTTGAATGATTTGGTGGGAAATAGTGATCTTGCCTTCTCAGTTAGTGCAGTTGATTCCCATCCACCTGTGCTGCATCTTGTAGGTCCTGAAGTCAGCAAATAGAATGTGTTTTAAGAAAGTTGGCATTGACTAGAGTCTTGAAATAGCTTTAATATATTAATGAGAAAAGAAGCATAGAATCGTGGAGGTTGGAGAAGACTTTCAAGATGATCAAGTCCAACCCTCAGCCAGACCTGCCAAGTCCCTTAATTAAACTATGTCTGTTAGTGCCAGGTCTGCACATCTTTTAAATGCCTCTGAGAACAAGGACTCCACCACTCAGCAGGGCAGCCTCGTACAGTGCTTAACAACTGTCTCTGAAGAAATTCTTAGTTTCCAATCTAAACCTCCTGTAGTGCAACTTGAGACTATTTCCTTGCTTCCAATCACTTTTCACCTGAGAAAAGAGAGTGACATCCTCTGCAGTCTTTTAGATATTTGTGGACAGCAGTTGAGGTCTCCTTCTGGCATCCAGACTGAACAACCTCCTCCCATTCTCCTCATAATTTTTGTTTTCAAGGCCATCCTATTGCTCCTTTCCACAAACTTTTGAGCAACTGGCTATCCTTGTGGAGAGGCACCCAAAATTGAGCTCAAGAACTAGCGAAGAAGGCAGTAGGGCCTTCTGGGTAGCTCTTGATAGAAGAGTGTTTGGGCCCTGGTTTCTGGAGTTGCATATGTATGAACATTTCTGTCCTTCAGTATTTGAATAGAGAGCATATACTTTGACTCTTGCTTATCAGTCTTAAACTTTCTTTAAAGTGAAATCAGCGACAGCAACAAAGGACACAAAATGTTGGAGAAAATGGGATGGAAAAAAGGGGAAGGCTTGGGCAAGGATGGCAGTGGTATGAAGGACCCAGTAAGTGTCTCTGGTTTTTGCTTAGAGTACAAAGAAATAGAAATGCATTTGCAGTGGAAAATGTCTAATTATAAGCCATGATTCACTTTAAACATTTCAGAAGTGTTCATGGGAGGGAATAATCTCAGTAGGACTAACCTCAGATCAATGAGGTTTTATCAGTGAAGTATTCTGAGTTTTTTCAATGGCTTCATCACCTCAGTAGAAAATGACAGTAATATTGTTGTTTGTAATATTGTTGTAACGTTAGGAAACTGAACAGGAATGAGAGATATCGGATTAATGATCTCCAATTTGAGTGCAAAGCATGGAGGAAGATTGAAATTTATATAAATAATGTGAATTCAAGATTGGTAGAATTCTTCATCTTTGAAAGTTACGTAGCACAAAACTCAAACTAGAGAGTGAGCCAATGAGAGGAAAAACTGGCTAAAGCCACAGATATTTAGATTTTATTTAACACTTTAGATGTTCATGCATGGTGTTGGTAAATCAGAACTGTAACGGAATTGCCAGGAGGGGAAAGATTTGTATTATGAACTAGGACTTTAAGTATGTAGAATACCTAACATTTATGACAATCTTTAATGTATTTGACAGATCCACCTTCAGTTACATAAGATGCATGCAGGTTTGGGTACAAGTAGACCAACCTCAATTGAAGATATTCAGATCGTCCCAAGCAAGAATAAGAAGAACTGGGATAAAGCAAGAGAACGGTTTGCTGAAAACTTTCAGGAACCTAAATCACAAAAAGATACACCTAAGAGTACACCTTGGGTTAGGGGGACTGCAGAGTAAAGTATCTGGTTCCACACCAGGGTGGGTAATACCTGTGTGTGTAAATAGTTGGGAGAGAATTTATTTTTATTCTCTTTTTCTTTTGCTAAAGCAGAGTTTTGGTGATATGTAAAATACAGTTGTGAAAAAAATATGCAAGATTAACTTGAGTATGTTAATTGGTTTTCTGTAGTCTTCGTGCTTTTATAAAAACACATTTTTAATAAATGAATGAAACATAGGGGATATTCAACCTTAAGTACTTGAAGATGAATCTTATCATGAACAGGAAGTTTCTTCAGTTCTGTTTTTACCACAAATGTTCATGGAAGGTCAAAGCATCTGTTAAATTTAAATACAATGCTTTTAACTTTTGAACAGTGTTTTAAAAGGAAGCTGAAACAAACACTCCTTCACCTCATCAAGCACAATGAACAGAAAGGTGTATTGCCTTTTCCTCTCTTGTATGTTTATTCACGACTGTGATGAAACTGCTCAGCAAGAGGTACATTACTCTTAAATTCATGCAGTCCACTACCAGCCATGTCTCAGCTTACCTTCAGTGGAGAAAAATTGTTAAATTGTTTTTTAATGATCCATTGGTACTGTTTAGAAATAAATACAGTATTCCATGAAATAAACAACAAACTTTGGTGAAGAATACAGTGTTCAGAGGACAGCTTGTAGCAAAAATTTTCTTCTGTGAAGAATTTGCTTGAAACTTGCTTAGTAAATCTGTATCATGCCTTTTAAAACAGGAGGTATGTTTAGAAAACTGCTGTCTGTGTGTATTATTTATTAACTACTTGTTCTGATGCATCCATTGCTGGCAATGGAGTTTCTGCCAGAAAAGAAAGCCACAACAACCAGCGCATCTTTGGTGGGAAAAGGTTTGCCAAACTGAAGCTAACAGCTTGGTATTTATTCACTGTTCCTAAACATAATAAATTATTATAAATGTAAGCAGTGTGCTTCTTGATACTCTCTTGCACATATGCAGGATATGAGTGCTCTTCTAAAATGAGAAAAACTGATCTTTTTTTTTAGTCATGTTACAGTTCTGATACTTGCACAAGTAAGAGGAACTTGTAGATTCATCACCCTACTGGATCATGCAGGCAGCTGTCAAGCACCATTGAGTAAAACCAGGGCAGTTTGCTAGCTACTTATCTTACTTATATCTTCAGACTGATAAAACAACATATTCATTCTGTGTTATTTAAATCATTAATGCACACTTTTTTAGAACAACTTGACATCAGTGTACAGTTAGTGATTTAGCTGCAAGCACTCTGAAAGCCTGTAGCAGTATTAGTTCATTAAAGTCAGTTCACCACTTGCTTTTTTAAGTAGCTGTTCTTTCACAATTTTAGCTACAGCTACGAATTACACCTTCACATTTTCAGAGGACATCTAGCTGAGGAAAACATAGTTCCATATTAAACATCTTACAGTAACTTTTAGTTTGCTGAGTGTCTTTTTAAAAAAAGAAAAAAGTTGATCTCTATGGTTTTTATGTATATCAAACTAAAAATTTAAATCTGAAGAGAAAAGAACGTATTTCGTGAGTACCTCAGCTGAATCTTACCTTACCCCTCTCCCCAGTGACCCAAGTTACAGCTCTGGTAAAAGTCAGTTACTGTTTTATTGTTGCTAAGCAAAATACAATGTTAAAAGATTTGAGTTTGCATTCTGTCAAGTGTTTGAAGTTAATTCCTTCAGAAACATGCACAGCCTCCCAGTCCAGCACTTCACAGACATCTCCTTTTAGTAGTGCAGAAGCTTCTTTTTTCAACAAATAATTTTGTATAAAAGTTTGAAGCTTAGTCTCAATTTAGTGCTAGCACGGCAAATCCCATTATCTCTTGGTGCTGCCTGGGAAAACAGGAAAAACAGTTCCATTAATACACAGCGTTGTTCAGGAAAAAAGTGGAAAATAAGGTATGACTAATCCTCATCAAGCAGTTGTGTAGCTTTATTGAGTAGAAAGACGTGCACTGCGCTAAGTGAGGCTCTTGTCCCCTACCTCAGTCACCCCTTAGTAAGTTTAAGTAAAAATGAATAGTGTAGGAGCCTTTTGTGGTATGCAAGCCTTATGTGCAAATGCAATAACGCTTTCCTTCACGTGAGGAGGGAAGCATGAGTTGCCATTGCACCGTTATAATTTTGGAGGCCGTAACCGGTAAGATACAGCATCGAGTTAAACTGTCTTACCTTCTCAGTCCTCCAGACGTCCTGTCAGCTCTTCCAACTTTCCAACTACGATCATCACAGAGGCAAAACTACTTTTCTGCATGGCCAGAGTCAAAAGTTTTAGCAGTTTGCCGTGTATATAAAATAATCTTGCCAGTGCGTAAAATCTTAAAGCCATTAAGAACAGTAATAGCTTTATGTAAACAAAACAGTTTATACAGACCTAGCAGGAAATTCTGCAAAGTGCCAGCTTTCCAAACGTACTTTGGAATCTAAAAGCGACTTAAGAGCGACACGTTCCTATCTTCAGCGCCGACCACCTCAGCAGTCAAGTGAAAACACCGAGCACGTTCATCGCTGAATGAAAGCCACGGGATTAAGCGCGCAGGGGCTCTGAGCTGTGTAAGGGAGGAAGGTCTGGCTGCCGGAACGCGGTCGCTCCCGCGCAGCGCTGTACCTGCCGCTCGGGCAGCCCCTCCCGCCGCAGCCTCCGGCCCCGCCGCGAGCCGCCCTTACCTCCCTACCCGGCCGCAGCCATCTTGTCTATCCGCCCCGCGCGGGGGAGCCCGAAGCAGGGCCGCGGGCCATGGGCGGGAGCCCGCTTCTTTGAAGGCTTTTAAAGCGGTGGGCAGCGGAGCCTGACCGCGAGGCCTCTGAGGCAGCGGTCGCGAGAAGAGGAAGAGGAAGGGGAAGAGGAAGGAGGAGGAGCCGAAGGCAAAGCACCGCGGTTTCATTCCCTGCGTGCTGGACGGGGTGGACTGCAGCCGAGGGAGCGGCAGGAGGGCGACAGCGCCCAGGGCACGCGGCCGCTGAAGGAAACAGGACTCACAGACGCTGTGTTAAAAATACGCATCTAAATGAAGTTTTGAGCAGTTAGGATCAAATATTATCCTGAGAGGAACGGGTGGAGTCCCAGGAATGATTCTGAGGGAAACGACAGGCAGCAGCCAGCACAGCCAAGTGGGGGGCAGCCGCAGCGGCCGCCTCAGCCTGTTCAGGGACCAGCAGCATCTGTAACAAAAAAGGAAAAGGAAAAGGAAAAGGAAAAGGCTGATTTAATAAAGCTTTGGTGCTTGACTTACTGCCATCGCACTGGTCATTGGTTTGGTTTTTCGGCCTCCCATCTTTTTTGTTCAGTGTGTAATACAACAGGACAGAATTAGGCTCTGTTGGAAATATCCAAGTAATTTTGTCAGGACGGTATCTGATAAAAGCAGAATTTATTCGCGATTGCAATGGCGGCGTCCTGCAAGCAGGAGCGCAGCTATGGACACAACATGACAGCCTTTATACCCTGTTTTCTCCCCTTTGCCTTCCCCCTCCCCTGATTCCCCAATGGCTGGGTACTCCAGGTTCACAATCTTATCAGAAGGTTTACATTTGCTATTTAATTGTTAATTTATTTGTTATCTGGTGCCAGTCAGTAGTCATCCTGTTGTTTCCAAGATGTCTCGGTGCTCTCCTTGCCCTATTGATATGGTGATTTTCTTTAAAGTCATCATCGTTAAACAAAGAGCACTGGGGTATGATGCAGGCCTTCCCATGTCTCTTCAGGCGCTTCCTCGGGCATGCCATGACTTGTTCTCTGGTTTGCTCTCGTGCAGGATATTCTTGCAGTGTGTATGACAAAATATACATATATACACATATATACAGAGTGTGTTCCTGAGAACTACGATAGCGGAGATCATAAAATAAAAATAATATTATACAATTCTAATGCAGAAACAACACTTGATTCCCACAAGTACAAGAAAGGTGTGGATGTATTGAAAATAGTCTAGTAGAGGAGAAAGGAAGGATCTGAAGCATCTCTTCTGTGAGGAAAGGCTGAGAGAGCTGGAACAAGATAAAGCTTGGAGATCTGTTTAGCAATCCCAGTTATGAGTAAAACAGAAGAACTCATTGAGAGCAGCCCTGTGGAAAAGGAGCAAGGGGTCCTGATGAACAAAATGCTGGACTTGAGCTAGCAGTGTGTACTTGCAGCCGAGAAGGGCAGCAGTAGTCTAGGCTGCATTAAAACAGGGATAGCCAGCAGGGAGAAAGAGGTGATTGTTCCCTTCTACTCTGCTTTTGTAAGAATGCCTCTGGAGTACTGCATCCAGTCCTGGGGCCCCCACTGTAGCAGGCATGCGGAGCTGTTGGAGTGAGCCCAAAATAGGACCACAGAGATGATCATCAGAGAGATGGAGCACCTCTCCTAAGAAGAAACACTGAAGCAGTTGGGCTTGTTTAGCTTGGTGAAAAGAAGGCTCCAGAGAAATCTCACTGCAGCCTTCCAGCACTTGAAGGGAGTTTACTAGCAGGAGGGGGATCAACGTTTTACTGTAGTAAATGCTGTAGTGACAGGACAAGGGGGAACGGCTTCAACTACAAGAAGCGAGATTTAGGTTAGATATTAGGGAGAAATATTTTACTCAGAGGGTGGTGAGGTACAGGAACTGGCTGCTCAGAGAAGCTGTGGATATCCCATCTCTGGAGGCACTCAAGGCCATGTGTGGTGGGGTCCTGGTGGGTAAGCCTGGCCTGATGGGTGGCAGCCCCACCCATGGTAGCGGGTTGGGACTGGGTAAGCTTTAAGGTCCCTTCCAACCCAAGTCATTCTATGATTGTCTATAAATATCTGAAAGGAGGTGCAATGAAAATGGAGCTAGTTTCTTCTCAGTGATGCCATGTGCCAGGACAAGAGGCAGTAGGCACAAACTTGAACACAGAAGTCTTCCTTTGAACATGGGGAGGCATTTCTGTGCTGTGCTGGTGATGCAGCACTGGTACATGTTGCCCAGAGGCTGTTTCCTGGAACAAAAATTGCCTGGACATAGGTCTGGGCGCCCTACTCTGGGTGTCTCTGCTTGAGCAGGGACTGGATCAGATGGACCAAGAGATCCATGCCAACCTCAATCATTCTTGGACTCTGTGAATTTCCTTTTGACTCTTTATTTTTTCAGTGGGAAAAATAATACTTCTTTAATCACAGAATGTGCCACAAGGAACTGATTTGTGTTTGGATACTGTATGTATGGAGGCCATAGACATATCTGAAGAGGCATAGATAACTCTTGAACTCAAGATATCGAGAAAAACGAATATCTTGAATTAGAGAGGTCAATTGAAAACTTAGATAACCTGCCATCCAGCCTACCCTGTACATTTCTGCCAGTTACTGTTGAGGTAAGGATTCAGACACACAAGAGGGCAAGTGTGAAGAGTTTGAATGGTAGGTGTTAAACAAGAGTTTTAGAAAGTACAAAAGCCAGCCTTCGGATTTGAAAGGTCAGAATAGAACTCCAACAGACCTTCCCCAAAGCAGTTTGTGCAACCGCTGTGCTGTGCACAGCACCCTCCTCCAGGTCAGAAAGTCCTGTGTTCCTCTGCACAGAATAACAAAAAAAAAAGATCAGTTAAAAGAAAAAAGGAATACAATGCACAGTGCACAAGTAAATTCACAGCAGTGGGTAGATCTGACTTTTTAAAATATTGCCACGTACTTCTGCAAGGAGCAATTCTCCACTGATGTTGTGCAAACTCCTGGTGTTATCGGGCTTTGCTCCAAGGCAAGTCAGATTGGGATCCTCTACCTGCAGGCAGTTGGTAATTGTGATGAATTGTGACTGATCCTCCACAAAGGCAGCATCAGGGAAAATACCAGTGAAGTGTTTCAGAGGCATGTCTTACGTTCAGTCATATTGAAAAGTCTTCAGAGTCATGCCAACGAAGAGAAATCTTTGTCATGTTTGCTGTGGGAAAGCAGATGTTCTGGTTTGGTGGGTTATCTGATCATAAAGAGTTCCTAACCTTTCTGCAGAGGATGTCTGTGGGATGTGAAAATAATAAACAAGAAGCAGTGGAAATGGAGACCTTATGCTTGATCTGATTGAAGACAGAATGAATCATAGCCCCTGTCTGGCTTTTTAGAGCTAATTCAAAGCACTCTTTGAGAAGGCGAGTGTGGTTGGGATGTTTTGGAGAAATATTATTTCTTTGAGACAGTTGTTCCATTTTTCAGTTTACCATAGAGATTGCTCATTTTAGGCATCTTCTGTTTTTATAGAAAAAGACCTGTCTTGGAAATTGTTCACATCAAGAGAAAAACTGAGTTTTTTAAAATAATTTCATGCCAGTATATTTTTTTAGTCTCAAATTTTTGAGATACTTTTGAAAGATATTTTTTTATATTTTTGAAGGATAGCTATTTTGATGAATTTGCAATTCTTATTTTTTTAAAGTGTTGAGATATCCAGTGTTTTGACTTGACTAATGCCTATAAAAGATGAATGGGATCTTCAGATTTATTTGTTTTCCCAAATGTGTATCTGCTTGCCATGAAGCTAAACATCAAAATCTGCACCTGACTAATTGTTTCATCTTGAAACTGAGTGAAAACCAGATATTGTTTTTAACCTGTAATCATTCTCACATAGGATAGCCACAGTTTGCTCTTCCTTAGACATTTACAAAAACCAACGTGAGCCATTTTTCCTGGAGGCCGTATACACTGAGTTATTCAAGGGACAGAGGAACACTGCAAAAATATGATATGAGCCTTACCTGTTTTTTAGCTGTCCTGTGACCTGTATTCAGGGAAGTTTTTGTTTTTCCTTAGACACTGTTAACACCTGGCAATGGTAATGTCAGAAATCCTAGTATTCAACATTAAAACTAATGAAGTGCTGAATCCTAGAGATACCACCTCAGGCATTACAAATAAAGATTAAGAAGGCTTAACTGAAGGTAAGGCTGATTTAAAAAAATGCTGGAGTAGATGCACTGTCAGGAGACCTTCAAGTTTCAGATCTCAGTACACTTGAAGAGGCCTCCTGTAACATCTGGCAGTCTTATTAATGCTGCCACAACTGATTTAGGTAAAGAATTGTTTTCTTCTGGGATTTTAAGTAACGAGTCTTGTCATTTTGTTCACCTCAGTTTTTATTTGTTTTGCCGTGAAAGGAAGAAGCTTTTGTTATGCAGACATGGATAGGGACAGTGTGTCTGGGTTTGGAAGCTGGATGAAACAGTCTACAGAATATGAACTACAAGGGCATGAGTCTCAACCGAGATGTATCCTTGCCTTCAGAGAACACATGCTAACACTCAGATAATGATTCTGCCTACAGTACTCTTAGCAAAGTGATAGTAAATGGATAATGGAGCGCATGGATGCTGGTGCAGAAACCTACACGTACACATGCCCTAACTTATAGAACCCAAAGAGAAAGAAATCTTTTTTTGTCAGACATCAGAACAAACTCAGATGTGTTCTTCTTTCCCAGCACCACTTCTTGCCAAACTGTCTATGCTGCATCACAGCAATTAGCTGACAAAGATTTTTTTCTTGTCACTCATTTAGGATCCATTGTATGTTTGCTCATCTAAATTAAGTTTACCCCCTGATTGTATTCTGCATTTTGGATGGCAGCTGCACTGATAGTTGGTGTGATCACAGTGTCAGCCAAATAGCAGCAGTATTATAAATGTCAGAATGCCTGCTTATTTTCAAAACGCTGTACGTTTTGTATTGTGCTTTCCTTATTTGAATAATTATACAATTTAAATTCCTTTACATGCTGTTAGAAATAGCACAGAGCCTTAAAGTCTGTAGCTCTGACAGCTGCAGTCTTGTGATTTTTTACTGGTTTCATCTAGAGTAACTCTAGCTCACTATTAGCAATGATTTTTAAAAACGTATTTTGGACTTTATAAGGCTCATTTGGAACAAAAATAATTTTCTGCAAAGTGGCAAAGGCTTTCATACTGATATTTTTTAC